AAAAAAAAAAAAAAAATTGAAGCAGATGAAGGCAGAGCCCATAGCCACACACTCCCAGGCTGGTGTTCAAACTTGGTCTGGGCCAGCTGAACAATGACAACTGCAACAATAAAAAAAAAAAAGCTGGGCATTGTGGCAGATGCCTGTAGTCCCAGCTACTTGGGAGGCTGAGGCAAAAGAATCGCTTAGGCCGATGAGTTTGAGGTTACTGTGAGCTGTGGCACTCTACTGAGGGTGACACAGTAAGACTTCACTCTAAAAAACGGGGGGAGGAGGAGGGGCGCCTGTGGCTGAAGGAGTAGGGCAGGGGCCCCATATACCAGAGGTGGTGGGTTCAAACCTAGCCCAGGCCAAAACTGAAAAATAAAATAAAATAAGGAGATGAACAGGGACATGGCCCAGCGGGCACTAGCTGGGTTGCTGGTGGCCCACTCAACAGATGACTTACTCAAAAGTTAACCTCAGGTACAAAATAATACAAACTTGTACACCACTGAGGTAAGGGGGCCAGCGCGAGTCCTGTGACCCCGGACAGGATCCTTGCCCTGTCTGGGCCTGTCTGGGCCCATCTGGGCAGGCTGTCTACAACTCCCAAAGGCCCTGGGTGGACATATGTAGCCAAAAATCAATCTTTGTCCCCGACCCCAGCGCCACAAGCAGTAGCAGGTTCGCAAGTGCATAGCTCCCCGGGCCGCACCTGTATTTGAAGGTAAAGCCCGTGCGGTTGGTGCCCACTCGGTACTGGCGCAGGAACTCCTTGAAGCGCTTCTGCAGCTGCGATTTGCGGGCTTGCCCCTCATCGGCCCCGGCGTCCCCCCCGAAGCTGTCGCTGTAGAAAATGCCAGGATCGTCAAAGCCCGACATGACTGCACCTGGCATGGGAACAAAGAGCTAGAGCAGGCTGGGAGCCGCGCCTGGACCGCCCTCCCCTCGGACTCCAGGGTTCTCGGCCCCAAAAGAGGAGCGGAGGGGTGAACCCGGATGCCCTCCTGGACCCTAACTCCAGTTCCCCACGAGAAAGCCTGACGCACGCCTCCTGCGCCCCGAAACGCTGACGCCCACCGAGCTCCCCCTGAGGCCTCTTTCCTTGGCCCCCACTTCACAATCCCACTGACCTCACCTCTCCCTTTACGAACTCCACAAATCACGGATGACAAGAACCTCCACGCTCCGCCGCCGACTTTCGCGGGAAAAGCTAGAGGCGGTGTACGGACGCCGACGCCGCTGCCCCACCATTGGTTGACCGGAACCCTGAGGCCAGTGATTGGACCGCTCTGAGCTTGCGAGCCCCGCCTCTTGGGCTGGCTACGTAAGTGGATTGGCTACGAGGCGCGGACGTCAGGCCTCGCCTCCTTCCGGGCTCCATTTTGTGTGCGAACAGTTTGGCGCGAAAATTCTGACCTGAGAGGAAGCTGCGGAGGTCGGCTGGGTGGGCAGGAAGATGGCGGAGAGGCGGGGTGGAGGGACGGGCAGGCGAATGCCGGGGGCGCCTTTTGGTACTTAAGCTTTTAAAAAGTCTCACGGTAGGGCGGCGCGCCTGTGGCTCAAAGGAGTAGGCGCCTGCCCCATACCCAGCCCCGGCCAAAAACTGCAAAAAAAAAAAAAAATCTCACGGTAAATTGACCCGTTTCAAAGCCCCTTGGGGAGAACGTACTAGGTGGCTAGGTGTTCACAAATACTAGGGTCCAAGCGCCCCGTGTTGCAGCGGGAGACCGGGCCCTGACTAGTACCGGCTGGCCGCCAGCCGGCGAAGTACCAAGGAGCCTTAACCTGAAGGTGTAGGCCGGAGGTGGTGGCTCAACCCCTGTAATCCTAGCACTCTCGGGAGTTGCAGACCAGCCTGGGTAATAGCAAGACCCATCTCTCTCTAAAAATAGAAAAACTGTCTCGGCGCCGGTAGCGCAGTGGTTAGGGTGGCGGCCACAGGCACCAGGGCTGGTGGGTTTGAACCCGGCCGGGACCTGCTAAACAACAACAACAACAAAAAATTAGCTGGGGCTCGGCACCTATAGCTCAACCGGCTAAGGCGCCAGCCACGTACACCTAAGGTGGCGGGTTCGAATCTCCAGCCCGGACCCGCCAAAACAACAATGACGGCTGCAACCAAAAAAAAAATAGCCGGGCGTTGTGGCGGGCGCCTGTGGTCCCAGCTACTTGGGAGGCGGAGGCAGGAGACTCGCTTGAGCCCAGGACTTGGAGGTTGCTGTGAGCTGTAATGCCATGGCACTCTACCCAGGGGGATAGCTTGAGGCTCTGTCTCAAAAAAAAAAAAAAAAATTAGCCAGGTTGGGGGGTGGGGAGGCGCCTGTAATCCCAGCTACTTGGGAGGCTGAGGCAAGAGAATGGCTTAAGCCCAGGAGTTGGAGGTTGTTGCCTTGAGCTGTGATTCAAGGGCACTCTACTCGGAGTGACAGAGTGAGACTGTCTCAAACAAAAACAATAAAAAAAAAAAAAAATAGGAGTTTGTATGGCTTTTGCTTTTAACTTTTTTTTTTTTGAGACAGAGCCTCAAGCTCTCCCCCTGGGCAGAGTGCCGTGGCATTACAGCTCACAGCAACCTCAAACTCTTGGGCTCAAGCGATTCTCTTGCCTTAGCCTCCCCAATAGCTGGGACTACAGGCACCTACCACAATGCCTGGCTATTTTTAGGGGTCTTGCTCTTGCTCAGGCTGGTCTCTGAACCCGTGAGCTCAAGCAATCCACTTGCCTCAGCCTCCCAGAGTGCTAGGATTACAAGCATGAGCCACCTCACCTGACCTTTTAACCTCAAACTTTTGGGTTTCTGCAATCCTCTTGCCTCAGCCTCCCAAGTAGCTGAAACTACAGGCACCCACCACAAAGCCTGGCTATTTTTTAAAGATGGGGTTCTCGGGTAGCACCTGTGGTTCAGTGGGTAGGGCGCTGGCCTCATATACTGAGGGTGGCGGGTTGAAACCCGGTCCCGGCCAAGTTGAAACAACAACAACAAATAGCTGGGCATTGTGGCGGGCACCTGTAGTCCCATCTACTCGGGAGGCTGAGGCAAGAGAGTCGTCTAAGCCCAGGATTTGGAGGTTGCTGTGAGCTGTGTGACGCCATGGCACTCTACCAAGGGCAATAAAATAAAACTGTCTCTACAAAAAAAAAAAAAAAGATGGAGTTCTCACTCTTGCTCAGGCTGATCTCAAGCTCATGAGATCAAGCAATCCACCTGCCTCAGCCTCCTAGAGTGCTCTGATTACAAGCATGAGCCACCTCACCCAGTCTTTTAACCTCAAACTCTTGGGCTTCTGTAATACTCTTGTTTCAGCCTCCCAAGTAACTGGGACTACAGGCACCCAACCACAAAGCCTGGCTATTTTTTAGACATAGGGTTCTCACTCTTACTCAGGCTGATCTCAAGCTTGTGAGTTCAAGCAATCCACCTCCCTTGGCCTCCCAGAGTGCTAGGATTAAGGGCATGAGCCACCACACCCAGCCTTACACCTTATTTTTATAGTACCTAAAAATAAAACCAGCCAGGGGTGGCGCCTGTGGCTGAAAGGAATAGGATGCCGGCCCCATATGCTGAAGGTGGCGGTTTCAAACCCAGCCCTGGCCAAAAACTGCAAAAATAAAATAAAACCAGCCAGGTGCGGTGGCTCATGCCTATAATCTTAGCACTTGGATTATATGAGCCATCGCGCCTGTCTCCAGATAATCTTTTAATGTTTTGTAGAGATGGATCTTACTGTGTTGTCCAGGCTGGTCTTAAACAAGCAATCCTTCCCTCTTCTGCCTCCCCAAGTACTGTAAATATAGGTGTTCACTACCATACCCAGCCTCAATCTTTAGCATGCCCATTCTAAAATTAGCCAAGTAGGGTGGCAATGCTTATAATCCTTGCTACTCAGGAGTCTGAGGTAGAAGGATCATTTGAGACTGCAGTGAACTATGATCTGGCCACTGCACTTCAACCAGGGTGACAAAGCGAGACCCTGTCTCAAAAAAAAGAAAGAAAAAAAGAAATCAAAATGCCCATTCACCTCTGTACAAATAAAAGCTGAGTTCAGTTCATATTGGACTCTTTTTCCTAAATGCAGTGGTTATTTCTGATTAAAATGTGTCCTTACCTCTCTTACTAGTATCTGGCTTTGATTGACAATGGATAGAATACAAATTATTCAGCCATTCTCCTATTAGAATTCAACATGGTTTCTCTAACTCCCCTCCCTCCTTCTTCCCTTCCTCACTACAATGAACACCTATGCCCCTTTCAGAGAGGCGGGCAGGAATGCCCTGAATGCCTTGGTTCATAAAGAGTGGTTCATGAACCTGGGTGTATACTAGAATTTTTCAGGGTATTTTTCATTAATATTGATTCTGGAGTCCCACCCCAGGTCTCCAGAATCAGAACCTCTCAGCATGGAGCTCTACATTCAACAGTTAAGTATCTCTGGGTGATTCCTATGCCACCACGAACACACTGGTATTTGGATGCCACTGCTTCTTCCCACCAGGTGTGGCGGATAGGAGAGGTAGGTGTGTCGTTCTTGTTTTACCAGTGAACAAAACAAACCTTGAAGTGACTTGTCCAAGATTCCAGACTTTTTTTTTTTTTGAGATGGAGCCTCAAGCTATCCCCCTGGGTAGAGTGCCATCTCCTGCCTCAGCCTCCCAAGGAGCTGGGACTACAGGCGCCCGCCACAACGCCTGGCCATTTTTTGGTTGCAGCCATCATTGTTGTTAGGCGGGCCCGGGCTGGGGATTCGAACCCTCCACCTTAGGTGTATGTGGCTGGCGCCTTAGCCGCTTGAGCCACAGGCGCCGAGCCCCAAGATTCCAGACTTAATGACACAGTCAAAACTAGGGACAAAGGTCTCCTGCCTCCCAGTCCTCAGGTACTAGTCATACAAGGAAATGCCTTATCCCCTGCTCTGCCTTGTACACCTTCTATGGAGGGTTTTCTAGGATTTCAGTTGCTTTCGGTACTTGAGGCACTGGCAAGGGCTTGGATTCTAGAGCTGGAGAGCTGGCTAAAATTCTTACTGCCCCTGAGAAAGGGGTGACATCTCTCGACATAGAGACAACATGGATGGGGTGATTTGCACAGTACAAGAATCATTGGTCTCCTTCCTTGCATAATAGGAACTAAAGATTTGCTAAATTGGCATTTAACTTGCATCTCATTTGCTTCCCAAGATAGACAGGTGAGGCAGGTTTCGCTACATCCATGTTACGTGTGATACAATGGAGCCCCCAAGAGGTTGTGGAATTGATCTCAAAGTGGAGTAGCAGGAATTTGAACCCAAGGATCTCACTCTGTCCCCAAGAGTCACTGAACAGAAAACATAAATTTTATTCCAAAATCTGCTCAATTCAGCCTAACAGGGCAACCCCACTCTGAGGAGAAGTGAGTCTCAGATCAAGCAAGGCTCAACACAACTTGCCCACCACCTTCTGAATTCTCAAAATGACTAACGCTAGCCAACGCCACCCTTACCACCTCTCCCACCAGGCCCTCAAGAAACAAGTGAGTTAGAAGTCAGCTACCCAAGCATCACAGAGCCCATGAAAAACACTGCAAGTTGCTATCAAACAAAGTCATTTATTATTTCACATAAAAGTTAGAGACCAAGGCTACAGTGCTGTTAAACACCTCCCTCCCCAGAAAACCACCCCAACCCTGCTATAAAAACAAGAGAAAACACACACACACACACAAATACCACTGTTCAGGCTGAGCCAGGAACAAAGAGTGGCTCTAACAAAAATAAGAAACACAAGACATAACATCTTCACACGTTTATATAAAAATTGCCATGGCTTATGGGGAAAGTGGTCACGGCCGTGTCAACAAGGTTACTGTGAAACCAGGGCATTTAGAGGTTTAGCACAGCTGCTACTTCTGGCCTCATCTTCTGGGCTCTGCCGCAGGAACTGAGGATGCTGAGGGCCAGGGCTGGGCCCCTCATCCCACTCTGAAGTTCAGGCCATTGGCTAGATGTGCTTTGGGCTGGGAAGATGCCACAGGCTCCTTCCACCTTTCCAGAAAGAGGGACACAGCAGGAATACTGGTGGGGTGGGGGAAAGCCAAAGCTTCCCATGCCCCAGATAAGGAAGCCAGCCAAGGGATTTTTCCCTCTCCAAAAAGAAGGCCTCCCCCCATTAGACAAAGTTCATGGCCCCAGGGAGCCAGCTCAGGTGCATTCACATGGCATAAAGCCCCACCGCAGCAACTGTTGCCACCAGAAAGCTCAGAGTAAGGACCCATCGGAGGAGAGGAGCCTGGGAGAGCACATTGGGCTGGGGCTTCCCTCTGGGAGTCTCCATGGGGGTGACATCTGAAAGAGAAAAGAGGGCAAGGTCAACAACAGGTGGGCAGGCAAGTGGAGGTTGTTTGATGTCACAAAAAAAGCACAGCAGAGGGGCCCCCTCTGGCACAGTCCTTGCCCAATGCCAGGATTCTACTGGACACAGACAGGTGTACCTGTAGCCATGGCTTGAATACCTTCAAACACAGGCAGAGTACAAGCTAATTCTTTAGCTTGTCCTCATTTAGCCAGGCCACATTGTTCAAAGTTCTCAGGCTTCTTCCCACTACCGAAAGGCCCTTCCTTAAGCTTTATCAGCAAATACCTCTGAGCTGTAAATTCCCACATCAGACTCGTGGTTTCTAAGAATGGTGGTCAGGGGCAGGAGCTACAAAGTGGGAGCTCTGAGGTCAAAATCCAAATTCAGTCCCTTCCACTGTCATTTAGATGTGACAGGCTGGAGACAGCCTTGCACCTGGGTGGGTGGGCACAGAGTAGGTGTTCTCTAGGTTTTCAGAAGCAGGATAGAGTCCAGGGAGGCCTCTGGAGCCAGCCCAGCTGGGTTTAGACCCTGGCTCCACCCTGGGTGTGGAGAGGAAGAGTGAGGTGGCAATGTATGAGAGGGGCTTCCTAAGAGGAGGCAGCGCCTCCAGCTTGGTGGCCCAGGGTGGCAGCCATGGGAATACAAGCAAGCAGATGCACCACCGCATTATTCCCTTTTTTTTTTTTTTTTTTTTTTTGTAGTTTTTGGCCAGGGCTGGGTTTGAACCTGCCACCTCTGGCATATGGGGCTGGCGCCCTACTCCTTTAAGCTGCTGCATTTTGACATTTTTATTGTTTATTAAAGGCTCCTTCTGATGCATTTGGGTCCAGTTCTCAAACTTTCTGATCTTGGGACTGCTTTACACTCAAAGATGACCAGTTATCCAAAAGAGCTTTTGTTTTTATTTTGTTATTTTCCATAAGAGCTTTTGTTTGTGTGAGTACAGCTATTGCTATTTACCATGTCAGAAATTAGAAGCGAGAAAATTCTTCACCCACAAGAACACACAGGCACACATTCCAGGAGCTATCAGATCCATTGTGGTCATCACATGTCAGCCTTTGGCAAACGCCAGCTCACATTCATGAGAATATAAGAGTAAACAAAAGGCCACAAGTAGTAGAATAGTAGTGCTTTGACCTCACAAGCCCCCCGAGGGGGTATTGAGACCCCTACTCCAGGGTACCACACTTTAAAAACTGCTGCATGAGGGTGAAGTCCCCCCATCTCACCAGGTAGCCAATCCCATCAAGACCGGCCACATACCAACCCTCCTAGGCATGATGCACCATCAGAAGGGTCCATGTGGCCCTGTCATGGCGGGAAAGCCACAGGCTGGATACCTTAGGGTGGCAGTCGGAGGGAAGACCTAAAGTAACCAGCTCCCAAAGTCACCCTCCTTCCCACGGCATGTTAGGCCTCTAGAAGGTGCAGTTTATGGAGCACTCTGGTCTTTTTGGACATCTCCCAGATATTCTCACTATAACCTCAGCCCTGACCACTCCCTGAGGCACACGAGGGAGGGGCTGGCTCACAGGACTCAGAAGGGACACATATCCCTGCTGCAGGTTGACAGCTGGAAACAGATGCCCTGACTCGGACCCACATCAGGGAGCCTGTCCAGAAACCTTTAAACAGCCTAGAAAGGATCTAAATTAAACATGGTGGTTACCCATGACTTCTGAGGGGTGCCTGTGTATTTCAGGCCAATGAACTAAAACTAGTTCAACCTCCCTGGATTCCCCAGGTGGGAAACTGAGGCACGGAGAAATCTCATGGCCTGCCCAGAGTCACATGTTGAAGGTTGACCCTTGGCTCAGCGCCTATAGCTCAACCAGCGCCGTACACCTAAGGTGGTGGGTTCGAATCCCCAGCCCGGACCCGCCAAACAACAATGACAGCTCCAACCAAAAAATAGCCAGGTATTGTGGCGGGCGCCTGTGGTCCCAGCTACTTGGGAGGCGGAGGCAAGAGACTCGCTTGAGCCCAGGAGTTGGAGGTTGCTGTGAGCTGTAATGCCATGGCACTCTACTCAGGGGGACAGCTTGAGGCTCTGTCTCAAAAAAAAAAAAAAAAGAAGGTTGACCCTTTGCCTGCAGTCTACATCTCATAGAAAACACACAAAAGATAGAAGAGTAGAGATACTAGAGACAGACAGCCAGGCCGTGACCCCTCCCACAGGGGCCCAGAGGGCTCAGGACTCCCCCGGACCCTCACCTGGCACCCGCCGGCGAAGCCTCTCTGCCTTTGAGGGACTCTGCTCCTTGGTGTCCTCCGCCAGCAGCTGCTGCAACTCTTCAAAGAGCTAAAAGGCAAAAGACACACATATCCATCTCAGTGAGAGGAGCTGCTAGGCCTAGCTGAAGAGAAGACCTGAAGTTTTGTTATGAAATACTTTGGAAATAAAATTGTAAGAAAAATATTGAACATTCCTGTCCCCTTTCCCCCACCTGAAGTGATAAAGGGTTCCACACACAGCTGGTGCCCTGGACTGCCCTTCCTCTCCCCCTCTGAAACAAGCTCCCCTGAATTTAGAGTTCACTGTGGCTATTAGGCCCTTAGTCCTGGCTCTGTACAAAGCAATACAATATGTAAGAGCTTTCTACAGCTGCTTTTTTTTTTTTTTGAGACAGTCTCTGTCGCCATGGGTAGAGTGTCTGCCATAGCCAACCTCAAACTCTTGGGCTCAAGCGATCCTTTTGCCTCAGCCTCCTGAGTAGCTGGGACCACAACACCTGGCTAGTTTTTCTATTTTTAGTAGACAGGGTCTGGCTCTTGCTTAAGCTGCTCTTAAACACTTGAGCTCAAGCAATCCACCTACCTGACCTCCCAGATTTCTAGGATTATAGGTGTGAACCACTGTGCCCAGCCTTTATTATCTATATTTTATAGATGGGGAAAGTGAGATAGAGATTGAGGGATTTGCCCAGGGTCTGGAAAGTGGCAGAACTAGACCTCTGACTCCCTGCACTTAGCCAGGACCCCCAGGCCCTTCCCTTATGATAAGAGAAATTATGACCCTCGGAGGAACAGCTAGAAGAGGCAGTGGCTGCTCCAGGCTATCAGGCCCTCACCTGAATGTTGAGCAGGAATGCAGTCTTGGCCTCTTCAACCACCCTCTGCTTGACCTCAGGGGTCATCTCCAGGGAGTTCATGCGGGAGCGATAGAGCTGCTTGAACTTGGTGGCACTGACGATGTTGGGGAAGGTGAAGAAGGCCAGGCCCTCACCAGAGCTGGGCAGGTCCAGGGCCTTCTGAGCAATCTTCTTGAGGACCTGGCCCCCAGACAGGTCACCCAGGTAGCGGGTGTAGGTGTGGGCCACTAGCAGCTCAGGCTCAGCGCGCCCCACCTCGTGGAGTCGCTGCACATAGCGCTGTGTGGCTGGCGTGTAGGGGATCTCCTCCTGCCAGTGGGGCCCATACCAGAAGGCCATGTCCTGCTCCAGGACTGCCCTGCGGTGTAGCTCTTCCGGGAAGTAGAGGGGTGAGTAGACTGGGTTCCCCTTGTTGCGCTCAATCTCCTCCTCCAGGGCCACATAGATGTGGTACAGGGAGGCCATCACCAGCTGAAACCAGAGTGAGCAGGTCAGGGCCAGCCACACAGAAGACCCTGCCCTGTCCCTCCTCTCTGCTACTGTCTCTTCTCAGCTGGGCTCAACCTTTCAGACAGCAGCCAGAGGGATCTTCACAAGGGAACAACACCATCATGCATTTTCTCAGCCTAAAAACCTATTAGCCCACTGGGTAAACATCCTACCTAATTTATTCCATATAAAAATCCAGCAAAAGAATTGCTAGTCCCATTTTACAGAATAAAAAACTAAGGCTCAGAGAGGGTGTGAGACACCGAGGTTGCACAGCTAGTAAGAAATAAAATTAGACTGAAGATCAGGCATTGCTTGGAAGCTAATGTGGCTCTGGACCAGGGGAATACCAGAAGTGAACATGCTTAAAGGAGTGCCCAGGAGCCACTGGCCTCTGACCTCTGGGTGACCATCTGCAGGGCACAATTCTCCTTCCCAGAGACCCACTCTGAACCCCACCATCTCAGGATGCTGGGGTGGTGTGATAGGCTCTGAGCACACCTTGGCTTGGGGAGCTAAATCCTGTTATACATTAATACTCTAGTTTAAATTTGATGGAAGAGAAAGTTAAGATGTTCCAGTTGAAGTTTCCAAGTTATTTTTGAGTCATAGATATTCATGACAGCCCTATTCCTTGAGGAGACAGAAAGCCAGACAGCCTGATACAAAAAAGCCCAGTTTACAAGTGTGATAGACCCAGTTCTAACCTCTACTCTCCCAGTCTGCAGCTGTGTGACCATGGGTGAGCCACTTTCCCTCTCTGGTCTGGGCTTCCCACCCCTAGAGCAGGAGATGATCTGAGGTCTGTGTGATTGATTCTGTGCAAGTTGAGCCTTGGACCTCCTCAGAGCTGGTGTGAAGGTTAAGAAACATTAGATGGGCAAAGTGCAGGGTGAGACCTGGCACGCAGCACTCAAATTAGAGAGGCTGTGATAAACGTCACCTCTGCCAACATAACGTAAGCTGGTGCTAGATTCTCACAAGGCTCTTGGCACCCACTTTAAAGTCTGTGACTTATGGCTCGGCGCCAGTGGCTAAGCGGCTAAGACGCCAGCCACATACACCTAAGGTGGCGGGTTCGAATCCAGCCCGGACCCGCCAAACAACAATAATGGCTGCAACCAAAAAAAAAATAGCCGG